AGTCACTTCCTACTTCAGAAATATCCGGTGATTCTACACACTACACATGTTATTTGATGTGCTAATATTTCCATCAGCTTTCTAAACGACGTAATTATTACCAAACATGACCCTGGACTATTTAATATAGATTTATGAATGGGCTGCTTGGAGGTGCTCATTGTTGCGTGTATGTTTTTTTTACCTATGAGACAAACTAGCAAACTCTCAGTCCAATGATAAATCATAAAGTAGTCAGGTTATTCGCATTCTTAGGCTTGCATAAACCATCTGTGAATGGTGTAATAGCGAATTACAGTGCTTTTATTCACAATTGGCACTTAATTTTTACAATTAAATTATTTCTGCCATTGGATGCTGAATTCGTCTTGTTTGGAATGCAGTTGCGTAAAATCAGCTTTATGCTGGGTTGTGAACGTCGCGGAGATTTATTATTGCTCCTTGAGATCGGTTTCTAATTTCATTGGGTGTATTATGAGCTCTAAACTACGTTAAAACTAGTTTACCTTGAATGGGAACCTTTTGGGAGGTAAAGCTAAGTGAAATTAAATAACCCCAGCATTGTAAAATTGCACTACCAGTGCTTAACTTACTGTAAGCCGTATAGAGTGGCCGAGTATCCGTGGTTAGAAGATATGTTCGGCCAGAAACTAAGTTAGTGAAATAGTTTAATATCCAGTATAGTCGTTGCTATCAAAAATATGATTTCTTAATGGACTGATAGTGAGTCAGGCCGCAATGAATTGTGATGCTTGATTTTTGCGGTTTCACTGTGACAAATTTGGAAATATTTTTCTCATCGACATCTCATCAGCATCCTCAATGAGAGCTCTGGCAGTGGGCATGCGTGTTAACAGGCCAGTACAGGATCCTAGACATGCGTTCCACTACAAGTGTAATTTTCAAGGCAAAGCAACCCTCTCGATTCAGATGATTTTTATTGATAGGCAACCGTGTATTTATCATTAAGCCATCGATACAAAACCCATTATGATATGAATTGGGGAGGGTTTACTCCGCATTCAAAGTCATGCTTATCGTTTAAAATATCATGGCTATGCTAGACTTGCCTGAGGATTAATATGCTTCCCTATAAACTCACGAATTCGCGGTACAGGCTCAGAACTAGGTGATGTTTAAACTAGTCTACCCTGGATAAAAGCGGTCTTCTGAAAGACACGAAGAAGCAGATTTCGTTTTTTGTAACGTTGGCGAGACTACCAGTAGATGTGATATAAGAGCTGTATTGACCCTATTTCGTTGAAGATGATGAAGGAATAGTAGTTGAATTTTTCCATAATTATATGAGGAATCAATTGCAGATAGCCTCGCTTCTAAAGAGCAATATCATCCAAGGTGGGCTTCGGGATTCCTTGAAATTCATTTCTGTTTTGTGACTCGAGGTCACTCGTGGCAGCGTTGCGTAGTGCTTAACGGGTTGATATTATAAAACGCACCAGAGTTCGAGTTCCCCCTGTCGCTCTTATGTGCTTACGATGCCGACGAAACGCTTGGGAATGTACCTAGCTAACGGTCCAGTGCTGGAAATCATTAATACTATGGCAGAGGACACGGTACTAAGTCCGTTCTACAAGGTCTCCCCGACGCTCTGACCAAGTTGTGAAGGAGGATCGAGCCAACACTACGGTGTGGAGGCCTCCATTAAGTAACGATAAGATGGCTTTTTGTAATGCATAGCACAGCGAATTTCATTTCAAACACAGCTTTTCTATAAGTCCCCATAGCACCAGGCTAAATTAATAAGTCCCAAATAGCAGTTGTCGTTCTGAAACCTACTTACTCGGAATATAATCAGTCTTGTAAATATATCCTATTTCCCACCTTAATACAAACGAAATTCATTTGTTTGTTTGTTTGCTTTTCCCTACTATAAAATTGCTGTTACTCGTTTTCCTGATGATATTAGTTACATTTAAAATCATTAATTAAGTGCTGATTAGGATTAGTATGTTGGTATATTTTGTAGAATCAATATTAACACTGATTATTTTATCTCCATTATCACTCATTTTGAGTCAGAAACAGATTAAAGAAGCTAATGAGACCTAAAAGAGGAGGCGATTTTTAAATATATTGTGTAATGAAAAATTATGGATCATTTTGTGTGCAGCTTTATCTTAGGACCACACTTCTCAATTTGAAGGAGCTTTGATTAATACAGATTTGGGCAAAGATAAAAAAAATTAGTTTTTGTTTCACCTTAAGAAAGAGCGTGGGAGCTATACTTTCTGCTTTTTGTTACCAGCATTCCCTAAGTTAAATGTAAAAGAAGTTATAAAGGCTCAAAATTGATATTGCCTTACCAGATTGTTCGGAATAATTAGTAATAACATGGGCGTTTATCGCCTATTGTACGTATCACCCGGTTTTATCTTTTTTTTCTATAGAATTAAGCTGAAAGTCAACTTTATTTACAATATTTACAAGCTAGTTTGAATGCCTTTCATTAACAAGGCAAATTTTAAGATAGACGTATGGGTAAATAGTATGATCAATACTAATCGTCTTGAGGGAAAGATGCCACGAAACAACAAATATTACATAAACATTTAAAAATGCTCCTATTTTCTATGCTACATTCATCATGTAACTGATTATTTTACTTGTATTCAAATAATTTTTGCGATACTGCTATTTCCTCTTCGCGAGATGATGCAATAATACTTGAAGCAATAACATCAGATCCCGAGATAGCCATGTTTACTGTATGATCATTGTCAAAAGTAATAGAATTATGTCGACTAGAGGATTCTTTTACTATTTTTGATAAAGAAATTTTATTCTCTGCAAAAACAGAGTCTGACTTATCGTCCACTATGTTGGAAAAGTTGCCAGCATCTGGAATGGTTGAAGAGGGTTCAGCTATATTTCTTATTAACGTTGGAAATGTTTTGCGCAAAAAAGCACTTAGATTGGGCAAGTTGCTAATCCGCTTCAAGCATTGTTCGTAAAGTGTATTCTCTTCCGTTATCTTTCTTATTTCTTTCATCAGATGCTTGATTACTTTATCCTATAAATTGAAATTGCGTGAAAATTTAGCTTGCAAATTAAATTAATGCATAATGAAAGATTTTAGAACTATGTGAATCGAATTCTACTTTAGATTAAGAGACAACAAATGGTCGAAATTCCTACCTTGGAGGCCATTTGAGATCTTAGATGAACTATCTCTTCTCGAAGTCTGTTGTGGAGCACAAATTGATGGACATGAGCTTCTTCAGCTTTTTTTCTCCAAGCTTCAACTTCCCCGTCTATAAGGGCTAAAGATTTTTCATATATAGCTTCTTCAGAATCTCCGGACTTGAAC